TGATGAAAAAAAGTCAGCTGGTTCAGTGAGTGCAGTGAAAAATCTTATGAACAGCAACAGAACTAAGTGAGGAGGATACAGTCTTCATTGCTCTGCCTTAAAAGGCAGGAATAATTATAACAATGTTTTAGAAGCCTTTTGCCACAAGCAGGGCAGGTTTTAGACACATACAACATCCCATTGCAGTGTGCCTGTCACAGTCTGTGCAGCTCATTAGTTAACTACTGCAAGAATTGCACCAGCCTGCTCAAAATCAAACCGTCACATCCAGACTCTTCTGGTGGGTTTAAACAGCAGCAACTACCAAAAAACTCCCAACAACAGACTGGACAATTTTATTTCTGAATGATGCATCCCAAAATCCACAAATATGACCAAAATATTGCAAGGCTTTGTAATGGTAACAAAAACTCAGGGTCTGAATGAGAATTCAGAATTCTGAATGAGAATAATATCTGGGCAACTTGTGTAGCAACTGCCATCCTGCTGATCTTACACGCTTTTTGAAGTTTGACAAGGAAACACAGCGGGGAGAAAACGAAATGAAATTAAATTAAATGTTACCAAAAAAAAACCAAAAAAAAAAACCAAAATAAAACAAAGTAAAACAATATAAAACAAAATAAAACAATAAAATAAAATAAAATAAAATAATAAAATAAAATAAAATAAAATAAAATAAAATAAAATAAAATAAAATAATGTGCCCTGTGGCAGGGGTAATTTTCTTTTACCCAAAATAGGGAAAAATTATTCAGAGCAGGGTACAGCAGTGAATTGCCACAATTTACAAAGCCAGCTCTGTTTCCAGCTGGAGAAGGAGCCCTTACACTGCTTGCAAACCCCTTTGCTGTTCCCACCAGGTGGCACTTGGCATCAGGGACAATTCTGGCCATGCTGTCTGCAGTGACTCAGAAAATATCAAAGCAGCCAACCTCTTAAGAAAATATCAGGAAAAAAACTGTTAGAAGGCTAAATTACTCTGCATAAGCCTGGAAACAACCTTTCCTCTTACTGACTGAAGTGTGCTCACTTGCACGATTTGGAATTGCTCCGATAGCTCAGGATTCTGTCTTGGGATCTGCGAGGAGGTGATGTGACCCATTTCCTCTTATCTAGGGGAAGAAAGTAGCCTTGAGTGTTTCTTTTGGAGGGCCCCTGACGTGCCTGTGTAGTCCTTAGCCTACATTTGTTCATAGATAAGTGTGCAAGTATCAGCTGTGAAAGGAGCTTTTTGGCACAGTTTAGGCTGCTCGGGATCCACGATGTGCTGCTGATGGTGTCAGTCAGGTTTCAGAGTGGAAGCCTGGATAATTCATTCGTGCAAAATCCAAGCTGAGTGTAAGAAGTTATCTAAATGAGCTGGAGGTGAGGTGTGTTCTAATACTGGTTGGGAGATACAAACAGGTATGTGTGTACACAAATACGTGTGTGTGTGTGTGTTTCTGTTTCTAGAGATGTATGCATTTATATACACAGGGGTTTACAGAAGCATCTCATAAAGAAAGGTTTTAATTACAGGCTTCTGCATTTTAGTGTCTTTGGCAATTTGGAAAGTTTATAGGGAGAGTCAGCCAAAAGAAAGGTGATAGCAAAAACTGGGGATTTCCTACTCTGGTTCCTGAGGTTAGCTTGCTTATCACCTGAAAAAAACTGAATGTGAATGTTTTACTGGATCATGCTGTGAGCCTGGCAGTGACGTTTCACTTTCTGGGTAAGACTGGGTGGCTGTTCCTTGAACTGGAAAGCAGGGAGCAGATCTGATCCCGTGCAGATCAGTTCACAACTGGTCTTGGGAATGCCACGCTGGCACTTAAACCAGCCTCCCCAGCACGGTGGCCTAAGAGGAAACCTGCATTTGCTGATCCTGAGAACAGACCGCATGTGGCTCTGAGCAGGGTTCTGGGAGCAGGCCACAGGACTGGGCTCACGGCGAGGACAGCAGCAGGGGGAACTGGAAGCTTTGCTCCTCCCTTATCAGGCCAGCCCCAGCGTGTCCCTGGCTCTTATCAGCCCTGGCAGAGCCAGTTTCTGATGCACTGAGCCTCTACAGCCCCGTCACAGGGTGCTGCAGGGCCTGGCCCCGCTGCCTCCAGCTTGTGCTTAAAGAGGGGCTGAGTAGCACCTTGTGACACATGGGGACAAGGCAGGGCAGAGGTGACAGACCTGAAGGGAGGCCATGCTGGACCTCATCATCCTCAGCCTTCATTTCTTCATCTGCTTTCTCATCTTCATTGCAATCTGGTATGGACCAAAGGTACAGTACAGCCTCCTGCAGCCAGAGAGACACCCCCTCCTCCCCCTATCCATGCTTACCCTTTCTGTGTTTATAAAGACCTGGTCTGGCTTTGTTTTACTGAGGAAGCAAGGTTGTATTGGAAATTTGGGAAGAACTGGAACACAGTAGCTAATTGCAAGTAAATTTAAAGGGAAGGCTGTTTTCATAAAACTGCTTATGTTCTGTCTTGTGAGAGGGAGAGTCTATTATATGTTTGAAATACATAAGAGGAGGGAAGGAAAGACAGGAAAATTTACTAGAAATGCCAGGTTGCATACAGCTTCTCAATAAAAAATGTTTTCTTTCCTTTGCAGAATAATATTTTATTAATTTTAATCACTTTATATTTCTAGCCATAATATAATGGAAAAGTATTGGATTTACATGTCAGTGTTACCTGTTGCATACCTGAACTGTAGAGTACTTTACATTGGCCATCCTTATATTTGTTTGCACGTGTGTTTTGAGGGGTGAAAGTGGTTTAGGTGCAGAGTAAACAAATAGTGATTGAGAGTTTATCTTGCCTGAGCCTCAGGTATCTGGTTTCCAGCATCTGGTTTTCCTTGTCCTGTCAGTTCTGCTAGTGAACACAGTAACTGAACATTGTCACCAAGCTCTTGTGCTTTTCTACCTCTGCACGCCGACAGTCTTTCACTGAAACCTTCTCTCCCTCTCCTCACATGAAATCCAAACGTGAATTGCTTTCTAAGTGACCTTTTAATTTATTTGTTTGTGTGTTTAAAGGATGTGGATTCCCACAGCTCAAGCACAGGAGGAGCTGAAATGCAGCCAGATGGTCTTATATTCATTGGCAAAGAAGATGACATAAAGAAGTCCCAAAGAATAACACCCAAAATCGATGGCAGAGAAATTGTTGTTTTTTACCATGAGGGGAAATTTCATGCTCTGGATTCTCGCTGCTACCGTAAGATATTGGCCTGTGTGATATCAGTGTTGTTAGAATTAAGCATAAAATCTGCTGTATAAATTAATATGGTATTCTGCCATGTTTCAGATGAAGGAGGCCCTTTGTGTTTTGGAGAAATAGAGGTATGTAAGCAAAATAAAACTAATGCAGAGGCGTGGAGTCATGTGAAAACTCTAATGGATTTTTTTGTAATGCTTTTATCTGAACACTATATAGAGAACCTTATAACCTCAGACACCCTTACAACCAAACATACCTTCTGTCCTAGAAGATTACTTGCTATCTTTTCTTCTTCCTCCTGCAGGATATCGATGGACAAGCATGTATTGTTTGTCCTTGGCATAAGTTTAAAATTACCTTGGAAACAGGAGAAGGACTGTACAAAGGAATAAATCCTCAGGAGCCATCACCAACACCAAAGTGGCAATCAAAAGGAGTCAAACAAAGGATTTATAAGATCACAATAGACAGTGGAAATGTTTATGTGAGTTCCCCAGATTTTTCTGTGAGCTTTGACTCTGATTATTATGCTGAAAAGTACAAACAAGGTGGTGAATTAGCTATAGGAAAACCAAGCCGCTCAGAAGACACGGAGTAGGTCATGGCCAGACAGCCAGAATCTTGGGGAATGCACAAATGAAGAATCTGTTGGGAAATAAAAATGGACAGTGCCATCAAGATTGTCTCCAAATTAAATTCTAATATTGTTATGTTAAAGCATTGAAATACATAGAGATGAGTAGGATAAGAAACCTGCATTGTCAGAAATGTGACTGATTTTGTGCTGAGGATATTTTTTGCACTTGCATTTCAAAAAAAGACTTAATTCCAGCAGAGTGCCTCACAATATTTGATATTTTGCTCAAACTATTTTAATTTTTAAGAGGGGATATAGTACATTATGGCTTATAAAACTTACTACATAATTAAAAGTAGATAGTCAGGTGTAAAGGTTATCTTTATATACTTAACAGTTTATACTTCTAATGCCTGTGGTAAAAATGTCATGGAAACTTTTAACTTTTGAGATATTTGTGTGATTTCTAGCTATTTATTAAATGCCACAAAGGGAAGCACAGAATTTCAGAATTTTTTAGCACACTCTTTTATGCCTATTTATGCATTAACACCTTGAGTTTATAAATGCATTTCTTTTCCTCCTTCTCATGAATTCCTCTTGTTAGTTCATCAAATAATGCAGCAAGGATTTATTATGTATACCTTGTTCTTCCTGGTTCTGCTGGTTAAAGAGGGAGCTGTTTGGCGTGATATATAAATTAGTGACCCTTGTTTGCTTGTTTTTCTTTATTGTAACCACATTTTTCTGCATTCATTTGAAAAAAAAAAAGTGCTGTCTGTGTAGAGGCAAAACCTGTGTTTTTCTCTGTGTCTTTCTGTTCAATATCAGATCTGCCCCAAAAACCCCTTTCAAGGAAGTTTCTCTCTGGGCTCTGCTGCACTCCAGGATGTGGTGGTGTGACTGTGTTCACAGGGGTCTTAGATGAGGGAAGAGACGAGGATTTGACTCCATGTTTCAGAAGGCTTGATTTATTATTTTATTATATATATTACATTAAAACAATACTAAAATAATAGAAGAAAGGATTTCATCAGAAGGCTAGCTAAGAATAGAATAAGGAGGAATGATAAGAAAGGTTTGTGGCTCGGACTCTCTGTCCGAGATGGGCTGTGATTGGCCATTAACTAGAAACATCCAACATGGGCCAATCAAAGATCCACCTGTTGCATTCCACAGCAGCAGATAATAATTGTTTACATTTTGTTCCTGAGGCCTCTCGGCCTCTCAAGAGGAAGAATCCTAAGGAAAGGATTTTTCATAAAAGATGTCTGCGACATGGTGAGTTCTACTGTTCAGCCTGTGGAGTGCAGAGACAGAACACAGAATCATTAAGGCTGGAAAACGCCTCTAAGATCATCAAATCCAACCATTAAATCAGCTCTGCCAAGCCCACCACTAAACCCTGTACCCAAATGCCACGTCTACACTCCTTTTAAATACGCCATCCTGCATGGCTGCAATTCTTCAGTGTGGGTTTTTTTTTTTTTTGTAATTTTCTGGGTTTTTTTGCAAAGTTCATTCATAGCCAGGTTCAGTTTGAAGTGCCTGCTCTTCATCTCTATATTCTGCTTGTGTTTGCAGCAGGCTGTCTTGCTTTTAATGCCTGTCACGGGTAACCAGGCCTGTGTCAACACTGCTGCTGGTACAAATGTGTTTAGAAGTAGTGAGGCAGAGGGAAGAGTCAAAGGAAAATTTGTACTGCATCGATCACAACGAATAAAGCAAAGTACACGATCAATTGATTTCACTACAGCTAAATTGAGAGGAAATTATCTCTGGTCATGCCTCCTTGACATGGTTTTTGCAGTTGACAGGGAAAAGTGTTACCTTGAAATTGCTGCTGAGCTGACCCACCCCAGTTCTGCATTTTGTAAGAACTACAGCACAGAAATGCTTTTCTTGCCATCCTCTTCTTCCCCCTCCTCCTCCTCCTCTCCCTGACCACTGAGCCAGCCAGTGCCAATGATCAGATGCAAATGCCTGTCCTCCTTCAGGTGAATCACATCTTGATTATCTGTGTCACCAGATGAGCAGGACCATGCTGAGGGAGGCAGGAGTCAGTGAGGCTTAGGGGGTGTGACAAACTGGGTCAGCTCTTCAAACTCCATTCTGCAAACGCTCTTTTTGATGTGGCATTTAATCATGCAAAGGCATGGATTTCATTAAGTGGATTTTTTTAGGTAAATGAAGAGTTGAGCACAGTTTTCAGCCTCTGCCAACTATAAACTGTGGCAGTAGAGTAAAAATGAAAGTGACAGTTTTGCCTGTTGGTAAGAAAAACTGGAAGAGCAGTGTAGATATTCTCATTAGCCCAGTGACTCTCCCTCCATGAGATGAAGAGAATTCCCTGACAAGCAGTACCTGAACAGTGGAATTGTTCTCCTGAAAGATGTCAGAGAAGTATAGTTTATTGTTGCCAACAATGGTAGTTAGAAATCCAAAACTTATGAAGGCAACTCCATAATTATTCTACCTGAAAGTAAAATATGTGTTATCTTTTTAAAATAAACAAACAGGTTTTAATATTAATTATATATTAATTATTAAATAATTATTAATTATTAATTAACCTAACTGTTCAAATTACAATTAATTTTTGCTGCAGCTGTGGGTGACTAAGGATCCAGATAATGCAGAGATTACCAGTAAGGGTGATCTCTCTTTATTAAGACAGTCACTACAGTGGAAAAAGTGGTGAAGCTTTTGCCCCTACTAAGGTAGGTCGGCTGCACCTGAAGGTTTTCTGAATTTTAATGTTTATATGACAGTTGCTCGATGAGAGGTTTCACCTCTGCACACATGTGTCCATCTGTGATTTCAGTTAGCATCTAAGATTCACATTCAAGGGAAAACTACTTTCTTAAATTACAGTGTGTGCTGAACATCCCCCTCCCACCCCTTCGGCCCCCGCTCCCCCAAAAAAATTACATCTTTATTTGGCACAGATTGCCCCAGGAAAAACTGAATACTTGTGTAGCTTTGTTTTGGCCCAGGAAAGCACAGAAGAACAGAGAAGTAATGCCCCCCCTTACATTCATTATAAGGCCTTGAATATTCCTAGCATGGCTCTGGCTCAGCACCCAGGAGACCAGCATGCCATCATTTGAACAGCCAAGGATGTTCAGGATCAGCAGCACTTCCCTGGAGGCTGTGTCACCTTGCAGTGGTCATGGTATTTTTCATGAGACTCAGCACTGAAAGAATACCTGAAGCTAAGATTCAGTTTGGAGGCGCAGGTGTTCACACCAATTTTCATTATCAGTTTTCTTGTGCTAAGCAGAATGGAGCTTTGATGTAAACTGAATGGATATGCAAGGTGCTGCACCTGGATCAGGGCAATTCCAGGCACAAACACAGGCAGGAATGAAAGCTGTGAGGAGAAGGACTTGGGGTGTTGGCAGATGAGAAGATTGAGATGAGCTGGCAATGAGCTCAGACAGCCCAGAAAGCCAAAAATGTCCTGGAGCAGAAACAGCAGTGTGGGCAGCAGGGTATGATACCATGGCAGGGGTGTTGGAGCTAGACACTCTTTTAGTGTCCCTTGCAACCCAAACCACTCTGTGATTTTATGACTTTACGTGATGTGATACTCTGGTTACTTTTCCCATTGTTTTTTAATAGCTGATGGCTGTGAAACTGAAGCAGAAATAAACATTTTAAATGTTTCCTAGTTTTGGTATAGGGTATTAGTCTTCTATTAAAAAAGTACAAATACTCTAACTGAAACAATAAAAATACTAAATGTGGTTTTGGCATTTACCCAAACACTCTCCCCACACCTCCCTACTGCAAAACTGAAACAAGAAGGAACCCAAAATTTCCCTTGGGCTAAAGAAAATAAATCTTGACTTCTTGTCTTTTGAAGTTCCAATGGAACGAAACCAGAGCTGTTCTAAGTTCCCTTCCTGAGATGACAGATAAACAGTGAAGCACATGGTGGTTGCCCCCTGCCCAGGGCAGCAGCTTTGCTCTCCCACAGTGGTGACAAACTGTCCAGTTTCCACAGTTGTGACATATTTACCCTCTCCTTAGCTGTACAAGGCAGCTTGTCAGAGAGCTCCCGAACCCTCCCTGTCCCTGGCTCTGCAGAACTCACCTCAGAGCAGGTGTGGCTTGGTCCAGCAAGTCTCAGATTTCCTTGACAGCCTGTGTCTGAAGGGTTCTTGTACCAGCAGGTTCAGCTGGAAACACAGGTTTACAGTCTTTGGCCTTGTGGAATGCACAATAACAAAGGAACAAAGCTCCTATAGAGACACTTGATGAGGTTTTATCTCTGTTCTGTCCAGAAGTGAGTGTTCCCCAGACTTTCTACATTACTACAGTTACTAACATTACTACAGTTAATGTAGCCTGCAGGCATTCCTGCAGGGAGTGTGGGGGTTGCGTGTGTTCCACTCAGAAGCTGCCTGCAACTTCATGAGTCCAGCTGTTCCAGTCTCCAGCAGCATTTTATGCACTTTTGCAGGCAGATGTGCACCAAAACCAAACATCTCTGCTCCCCCATCTCTGGAATGCATTAATTATGAGAGTGCACAGGCAGTCCCTCCTGCAATTCCCTTTTGCTGTTCCAGTCTTAGGACAAACCACATTGTCCATCAGAGATGGTGGGGGAAAGGAGGAAGGAATAACTTTTACCACTGTCACACTCTTCCAAGTCCCTTTCTACAAGAGTTGTGTGTGGGAAGAATATCAGTTTATTTAGACAGAGTTGTTCCAGCTGAAATTAAAAGGAAAAAAAATGCAGTTTAACATTGACAGACTCCTGGTCCTTAGTATTAAACAGCTGGATGACATGCTCTGCAATGTCACCTCTGTACCTCAGGAGTGATATAAACATTAATTACAAGTGGGTAGTGCTAACGAAAATTGCTCTCAAGAACTTTCACATATCACCCATGTACAAGTTTCCCTGCATCCAGGGAAATGGAACAATGGAGGGCAAGCTGCCTGACAAACAGCAGAATTCAGGCCTTTATTTCAAAGGCAAGGAACTGAGTTTCCAAAACAAGCTTCCTTCAGTCCTTGTAAGAGCTTTTCTAGCCCAGCAGCACTTGACAGCTTCCACATCTTAGCTGATGGCAGCTGTGTCCCATCCTGATGAGTGTGGGGCATGTGTGATGCTTACTGCTGAGAAGGGATCTTGGCAGGACACCCTGTGGTACCTGGGAATATACCATAGTCAAAGCTTATTTTATTTAGGAGTAAGGGGAGCTAGGGTACACTGCTGTGCATATATATGTAAATTAGGCAAGGTTTCTGAGTAAAGAAAGCCCTGTCTGCCAGGAGGCAGCAAATGATGAATTGTAAATGAGATATCTTCGAGATCCTGTCTTCCTTCAGATGTTCATCCTTTTCAGAGCTTGATAATCCGGATTCCAACAGAAAAATTAGAGGCCTTAGGATGAGGAGTATTGTAGCACCTGTACATCAGTGGTGCAGCAGAGCTGGTGCCTCTCCCCTGTCTCATGCCACTTCCAAATAGGCAGCTGCCCATGAACAATTTCTGCCTTGTTGGCCCTGTGTTCCTGCTCCCTCTGGGTGCCTGAGGAGTTGCTTGTGGCCAATCTCCTCCTTCTAAAGTGGCTGCCTGGCCCTTGTCCAGCACACTGGCCACGATGCAGCCGCCAGCAGGGTGACCTCCAGCCATCTGTGTGGGCCAAATCCCTGCCAGCAGGACGAGGCCTCCTATTGAAAGCCATATGGAGTTGATGGAGAGGATGTCTCTGGACCAGCCAGCTGCAGTCTTCCTGTCCCACCAGAGTCTGGGTGCTCAGAAGTCCCTGGCAGCCTCCTCTCTCCAACAAGTGCTGGTGGGGAAGCTGCTGGAAGGGCTGCTCCACATCCACAGCCTTCTGTGCAGGGGGGCTGCTTCACAACTTTTCAGGCTTTTGGGCTGAGGAAAAGGTTTTGATGTGCGCAGGTGAAGGTGCTGGTGGAGTCTGTGGTTGAAAACTGTGTGGGGAGGTGATGGCTGGCCTGTCCTGTCCTTCAGCTGAGGAGACCCCCAAGGCCAGTGACAGGCATGAGGAGGAACAGAGTGCTCTCACAGCCTGAGGCTTGGGGTTCCAGAGACCTCAAAGTCAAGATGACAACAGGGGAAGGGCTCTGGGTGGGCTTTGCTTCAGACTTCCGAGAAGACACTGCTGCACACACTGGTGCTTTGTGGACAAGCATTCGGAATAGTGGAGCAGTAAAGCAGAACAGGTGGGATTACCAGGCAAGACCTGGATGGATCCATGCCCCTCTCTGCCAGACAGAGAAGATGGGAGAGACACGGGTGGAATCCAAAAGGCAGGTGTATGTCAGCTCCACAAACACTGGAATAAGGTGTCTTGGGCAGTGAGGTACTTTCTGCTGTGCCTCCCAAAAGCAGCCCATCTCCTGGGTTTACTGGATTCCTCGTGCCACTACAATAATACATTGTAACCCCAAATTGGAGTTTTTAATCAAATGTATTAGGAATGTGTTTGTGTGGTGTTCACAGAGGTCCCAGGAAGAGGGAAGAGCCGAGGATCTGACTCTGTGTTTTAGAAGGCTGATTTCTTGTTTTATAATATATATTATATTAAAAAGAAAAGATATATTAACACTATACTAAAAAAAAAAATGGAAGAAAGGATTTCTTCAGAAGGCTTGCAAGCAATAGAAAAAGAATGGAATGATAGTAAAGTCTTGTGACTGACCAGACAGTCTGAGCCAGCTGACTGTGACTGGCCATTAATTAGAAACAACCACATGAGACCAATCACACATCCACCTGTTGCATTCCACAGTGGCAGATAATTATTGTTTACATTTTGTTCCTGAGGCCTCTCAGCTTCTCAGGAGAAAAAATCCTAAGGAAAGGATTTTTCATAAAATGTGTTTGTGACATGTGTTTAATCAAATACCAAAACTTTGTCTGGAAAAACAAAGTGTAGCTTCAGAGTCAACAACCAAGTCAACTTCAGAGGATTTTTGCTCAGCTTGTTCTTCATCACAGCTTCATCCAATCTGTTTTGGGGTGGGTGGACTGTGCAAGATGTGAATGATGAAAACCAGCATCTTCTCTGCAGAACTGAGGTGATGATTTGGCAATTGGTCACTGTCACCTCCAGGCTGCCTTCTGCCAAGCATTAACCCCAAACTGCCTGGTTTAAGCACCTCCAGCTTTACTTCCTGAGAATGTGGCAGAGTCCCTGGTAGATGTGGAAGGGCAGATAGGCCTTTCAGAGGAAAGGATGTAAATTGACCTCTCTTTGGTTAAAAACAAGAATTGACTCCAGACAATAGTGGCTTTTCCTGCCTGTGGGGTGGACAGGTTTGCAGGATCCTTCCAGGAAAATGAAAACCAAAGGCAAACAAAAAGATTGGAGGCCAAGGAAAATGGGATGGAATGCTGGCCAGGAAAGGAAAGGAAAGGAAAGGAGGAGGAGAGAAGAAGAAGGGGACAGAAAAAAATGTAGGAGGATCCAGCAGGTCAAGAAGCCCAGGTGCATCTCAGGCTCTGCTGCCCAGGCTCTGCCTTTCCCAGAATGCTGTTTTAAGTCAGAATGACATGGAGCTGTCATTCTTAGGTTGGATATTAGGAAACAGTTTTCCATCCAGGGATTGGTTGAACACTGGAACAAGTTCCCCTTGGTCATTGCACCAAGCCTGACAGGGTTCAAGAAGTGTTTGGACACGGTGAGATTCATGAAGCTGTGTGGTACAAGGCCAGGAGCTGACTTCCAGATCCGGATGTGTCCCTTCCCAGTCAGGACATTTTAGGATTCTAATTTGGCCCAAACTGCTGGCAAGGGCCAGTGAAGAGCAACACTGTGCAGGGTGTGGAAAGAACTCCATGGCCCCCTCATCTCCATCCTGAGTCCTGCTCTGTGGCACAAGGGCCCTGTGAACCTCTGCATAGGCACAGGCCTCTGTGCACATCACCCACAGGGGGAAGGTGCCAGAGCCATCCCATCATCAAAGCCAGCACTAATTCCCTTCTGGTCAGTGGTGACCCTGCCCTGGGTGAGCTCCTGACCTTGAAGAACACTGGCCTGGTGAGGAGACAGGTCAGGACCCTAAACGTCAGCAGAAGGAATTTCCAGATAGACAGAGATTTGGTGGGTGAGATCTGCTGGGATGTCTTTAGGAACAGAGGACCTGATCAGAGCTGGCAACCTTTTAAGGAGACTTTTTTTGGAGCAGAAGACCTTTCCAAGCTGATATGTGTCACAGACACATTTTATGAAAAATCCTTTCCTTAGGATTTTTTTCTCCTGAGAAGCTAAGAGGCCTCAGGAACAAAATGTAAACAATGATTATTTGCTGCTGTGGAATGCGGCATGAGGCATTGGTCTCATAGAGTTGCTTCTAATTAATGGCAAATCACAGCTGACTCAGACTCTCTGTCTGAGACAGAAGCCTTTGTTATCTTTTTTTTTTTTCTATTCTTATCTAGCCTTCTGATGAAATCCTTTCTTCTCTTCTTTTAGTATGGTTTTACTATAATATATATCATAAAATAATAAATCAAGAGTTCTGAAACATGGATTCAGCATTCTCGTCTCTTCCCTCATCCTAAGACCCCTGTGAACACCATCACAGATGTGTAAGGAACCAAGTAAGGTGGACAGTAAACTTCCACAGAAAAGCAGGGATCTTCTCCTGAAACTGAGGAGTAAGAGGAAGACACTGCCAGTGGGAGCAGGAACTGGTGACCTGGGGAGAGTACAGGGATACTGTTTGGATATGTGAGGATGGGATCTGGAAGGCCAAAGCAAAAATTAAACAGGGCTTGGAAATGGGTGTGAAGAGTAACAAGAAGGGATTCTATAAGGACATCAGTTGGGAAGAAGGGCCAAGGACTGTGTACCCCCAACAAAAGAAAAAAAAACTGGGGACAGCAGTTGGAGACGGCCGAGGTACTCAGTGAGTTCTTTCCCTCAGATTTCAGTGGCCATCAGGCTTCCTGTGCCTCTTGATTCCCTGAGGCTGCAGGTGGGGGTTGGTGAAGAACAGATTCAAGAGCAGCTGTTGGAACTGAATGGGCACAAGCCTGTGGGGCCTGGTTAGAGGCACCCCAATGCCCTGAGGGATGACATTGTTGCCAGGACACCCTTGTGATGTTTGTAAAGTCACAGCACCCAGGAAAATCCCCCAGTGACTGTGAAAATGAAAGCATCATTCCTATTTTTCAAAAGGGAATAAAGGGACTACTGAGCAATCTGTGGCCTTCTGTAGTGACTGCAAGGACTGACAAGGGAAGAGTGACTTGTGTCATCCATCTAAACTTCTGTAAGGCCTTTGATGCCACAATCCCACATGGCATCCTCATGTCCAGATCAGGGAGACATGCAGCTGAAGGTGGACTGCTGGATGGAGGAGGAATGGCTGGGTGGATGCAGACAGAGTTGTGGTCCATGGCCCAGTGTCCAGGTGGAGGCTGATGACAAGTGGTGTTCCTCTTGTGTCTTTGGGCTGGCGCTCTTTGCTGTTTCTGTCGATGACACAGGCAGAGGGATTTAGTGGACCCTCAGCACTTTTGCAAATGACACCGAGCTGGTTGGTGCAGTTGGCACAACAGAAGGATGGGATCCATCCCGAGGCACCTGGACAAACTTGAGTGGTGGGCCCATGACAACAAGGCCAGGTGCTGGTGCTGCACCTGGGTCAGGGCAATCCCAGGCATGAGCACAGACCTGGGGAAGAAATCCTTGGAAGCAGCCCTGTTAAGAACAATGGATGCTGGTGTATGCTGGTGGATGAAAATCTGGACATGAATAAGCCATTTCCAAGTACACATTTAGTTATGTCCTTTTATGAGAAGCCATTTCACATAGAGAATTATGATGCAGCAAAGGCTCTAAGCAGCCAAAAACCTCTGGGAGGGGCTGCCCCTCTGGGGTAACTAATATGAGGGTGCAGGATAATTCAAGAGGCTACAAAGCTAAAATCAAGTTAATTTCTCAAAGCAGTAAGGAGGACATTCAAATCCATGAAGAACATTCAGTTATCACACACTGTTCATCCTCTCTTGCTGCCCTCATAATTGCTTCTGTATTTACAGGTATGCAGACAGAAAAGGAGGCTGAAAACTAGAAAATAGCAGTGAAATCATAATGGAACGGAAAACACAAAAAAAATAGAAAACAGGAAATTAAGTTAAAAAGGAAATAGCTGATTAAAAGACTCACTCTGAAATGACTCTGTGAATTTTAGTAAATTGAAAGGTTTTCTTAAATATTATTTTTTAAATATGAAATGTTCATCCAATGGCAGATGTTTAACACCTGTATAATGCAAGTTAGTTTACAATGTGCTATGCCTTTTGATTCTGGAAAAATGCAATTATATAAAAATTAAGATTTATTTATGATTCATTGAGACCTTACAACGTTGATAAGTGAATAACTCTTTTTATATGCAGAGAAGCTACTGCAGATATTTGTATATCTAAATATAACCTTTGTTCTTTAATTTTCTCTTAAATAAATCTTTGTCCTTTAAATTTCTCTTTAATTTTCTCTTAAAATAAATGTTAACTCATATGTTTTGCTGACATTATTAGATAATTTTCATTTAACATACCTAAGGAGCATTATCTGCAATCATATTGAATGTCTTTTGTAAGAAAAAGTGGAAACCTGATTTTAGTAAGAAAAACTAGAAACTTGCAGCCTACTGAAAAAAACATGTGGGCAGACAAAGGGCTGAGCTTCTGCAGAAACATGTTAAAGCAGTTTGAGGCACTTCTCTCAGTAAAATTCATGTGCTGAGTCACTCAGTCCTAAGTGCTTATCCAGGGGATCATAAGGTGGATTAAAATAGCTCAGAACTTTCAAAACATGCTGAGTGTATGCCATCCCTTCCCTGGCCCCAAGTATCAGCAGCATCTCTGGCCAGGGTGGTACTTTTCTGAGAGCCTTGTGGGAGAGGACACCCACAAGGGTGAGATTTGTTGAAGGGTTTTGGTCAGTATGTGTGGCCAGGCGGTGCCAGAAGGGATCTTTCCCTGCTCTCCAGTGACACAATTGTCTGTGTCCACCTTGTGGCAATGGCTTCCTTTTCTGAAACATCAGAAATGACATATGAACTACTTTCTTTTATCCTTTGACCTTCATTCTAACGCAATTTGTAACACTTATTAAACTATGACATAAGAACTGCAGGGTGCAGCTCTGCACCTACAGTTGGGGATTTTCACCAGTGTGAGTGGGGTTTCTTCTTGTGCAGCATGCTGTGCTTTCAGCCCTTCCCCTCTGAGGCAGGCTGGGGTATTTAGGCACCAGATGGGTCCCCTCCTCATGGCACCAGGCCTTTCTTTCACTGCCAAAATCAACCAGCTTGTTGAGCAATTCTTGTGTTGCACATCTGCAGCAGCAGACCTGGCTCTTGTTTTCCACATCTCACCCTCACAGAGTTAGCTGCTTTCCACAGCTTGCTAGTTACTTGCACAGCTCTGTTCTGCCACAAAATGGATCTAGTTTTAATTTTAAAAGTGGCATACATTTTTATTTCTCCTTCTTCTCTCATCAGATAATTCCCCACTCTCTTAATATTTTTGTTTTAATATTGCACTGATGCCTTTTCCTTGGTCCTAAAATTAAGAGCCAGACATGGTTAAGGGATAAAGGGTTTTTGCTTTGGTATTGAATAAGGATTTTTATGGTGTGACACTTCTCCAAGGTGGAATACTCAAAAATGCACACACACAGAGTAGATCTCATATACAATTTTAGAGACCTTGTAAATTAGCATGTCTAACAGAGGTGCTCTAATGAGAGATTTGAATGAATAGCATGAAGTATTCCCCCTTAGATGGGCCTAATCTTAGTTTACAGGATGCATTCTAGAGAGGATCTTGGTTTCTCAAGATAGTGTGGGATTTCTGGCCTCCAACTGCGAGGCCTTTGGGATGTTTGGTCTTGTGTCCTAACAGAATACCAGGACTATGCTAAGTTATCAGACTTAAGGAATTAAATGCATGCTAAGGGCACTGAGAATACATAAAAGGTGTATAAAAGAAAAGGCAAAAAAATTGTCATGGCATCAGCACTGGTACTCCTTGATCTGATTCACTAAGACTAGAAAAAAAAGTAGTAAAAATAGGTGTTAATAAATGGGCAGGATTAGATACAATTTTTGAGAACAGTCATAAGAAACTGTGGCGAGAGACTGTGTCTGGGGTCTGTGTATCATAGGAGGCCACCAATATACTCAAAAACTCTTTTAGCAAGGCCTGGATAATGCCAAAGCAATGGGAGCAGCTACCACTCCTGGTGAGATGACAAAGTCTGAGAGAAAATGAGATCCAGGGATGAACACAGTCTCTTGGGAAGCTGTTGGAGAGGCTCCAGTGAAGTTCAGCATCACTGGTTTCTGAAGGAAGGGTGGTAAGTATGCCAATAAAAGGGGTCGTGTGGGCATAATAATCCTCTTGCACTTTCAAAAAGCCTTTGAGAAGCTTTTTGTAAAGCTTATTAAACTTTGTAAAGAAAATAAGTTGCCACAAGATTGGATGAGAGGCTGGTTTTGGAGTTGAAAGCTGGTGTAAGAAGAGGAAGTGAGGGACAGGGCTTAGTGGTCACTCTCCAGGAAGGAGGAGATTTATGCAGTCAGGGGATAATTCAGGTTGGAAGGGACCACTGAATGCCATCTAACCCAGCCTGCTCTCCAAGCATGTCTAAAGGGCTAAGGTTATGCAAGGACTTCTTCAGTGAAACTTGAATATGCCCAAGGATAGCCATTCCATAATTTGACACAAAAGCCTTAGAATTTGAGCTGTTTTTTCTTGATGCCTCCATCTAAACCTCTAGAAAGCAGTGGAACCTGTTGGGCTGGAGAGGCACGCGCTGGCTGTGGTTGTGGTCACTTGGTAGTGGTCCTTAAGGTCCTTTTCCACTCAAATTTCAAACTCAAATTCTCTGGTTTGTGTGTGGAAATTAAAAAAAAAAAAATTGCTTCCAAGATTGAACAACACTACATGATTTTTCTGCCATGGTCATGCTGAGAAATACTGCTGACCCTGAACACTGTCCCTCCATTCATTTCCACCCACACACACAGATGGCTTTTGTTGGTGGGGATGTGGCAGATGGCTACAACAACAGAAAAACTCCTTTTTGTTTCTGGTGCTTTGTCCGAGCAGGGGGTCTTGGCTGGCAGATCCTGCAGCAGCCGTGTCTACTCTGGACAAGCACCAGTAAAACCAAGACTAGCACAGGACATTTTTTTTTGCAGCATTATCAGGAAGCAGGCCTATACAGCAAAGTGTATTAGTGTTATTTGGAATTATATTCTATCTTTGAAAAAAAAAAAAAACAAACCAAACAAACTGGAAATTTACCTGTCCTAGAGCAACATGTTTCCTCATGCACCTGAAGCTGACTACACCAGCATCAGCAGCAGCTTTGCGCAGTGTGCAGACTCAGCTAATAAGCAGGTTTGGCAACGACTTTGACTTCAAGTACATTAAATGTCCTCACTGTCCTGAAAATACAAGCCGGATAATTCTGCATGGATCAATGCACATAAGGCTACAGCTTCCACTAGGAAAAAAATCCTTCTCCTTGACTTGTGTGCACTTATCTCCTTTCACTAGCAAATATCATTCCCCTTTGTCATTAACGACTGTGTATTTGTTTTCAGTGCTTTATCTGAGGTACTCACCGGAAAGCCACGACGGAAATGGTTTGAAAAAAAAAAGAAATGTTCCAGCACAAACTACACAAGACCGAATATGCTATTGTTTCCTGGACCTTGTCAAAGGCTCCCTTCTCTGCAGTTTAGTCTTTGTTTGTCAGCAGCAATGGCAAATGCTTGGTGGATGAAAGGTTTGCTGATCACAGGAGGGTATTCAGCATTCCGATTGCCAAACAGAGAACAGTCAGGCAATCCTCTGTAATCCTCTAGGTTAAACAATCTTTTGCAGCTTTCCCTTGCAGTGCCCGTGTAACTTGTAGAATGCTTCTAGGGTAGAGGTGCCAAGCAACTTCCCTGTTCGTGGTATTTATTATCCTGCCAAAGTGAACTCGTTTCCTTTCCTGTTTTGTTTGTTTGTTTATTTGAAATGCATTGCACAATCCCTGAGCAACACAAGCAAAAACAGGGTTATGGACCTACTTTGACAGCAGAACAGACAGCATTCTCCAGTTTTAATCCTTGCTTTTTAAACACTGCTTTCAGTCATCTGATTGCTGGAAAGCCGTTATTAAGACAGTGTATTTCAGTGTATTTTAGTATGTAAGCTTTAAGTGCTATTCATCAGCTGAGATGAATCTCGCGTCCCCCATCTGCACAATTTGCCAATGCTGATGGGACTTCTGTCAGTCCCAAGTTTCCCAGGTGGTTGAAGGAAGAAGTGAGAGGAAAACAAAAATGTTTGCTGTGACCCTCTGTCTCAGTTGGTGCTGCTACCCTTGTCACCCCTGGGCAGCACTAGGTCTGCAGCAATGAATAAGCTATGCTAATTGGAGTTTGGGTTAATTGGGTCACCCCTCATTAGTACTGCCTTATTTACCAGTCTGGTTTTTCTTGGTATTACAACTGCCTATATAAGTGTCCACATCTTCATGTATGGGTGTGTTGTATTTATAACATCAATGCATGTATTTTAAACATATGTTTATATAAATCTGTGTATGCGTATTTGTGTCTATATATGCATGGGCGTATTTATTTATGTATATAGCTATTTATGCTTTTAGCTGTTGCAGATCAGGCTCGCTAGTGATGTGAAGAACTTTTCTCCCAAAGGTTTCCTCATTTTCAATGGGTAGATTGCTACAAGCGCAAATTTAAGAATTCCAAGGGATCTTCAGTGACCTTTAAAACATACACAAATAGTCATGGTTGCAAAATGTTGGCTGCTCTGTTGACTCACAACATCATGTACCCAGAGTTTGGACACCACTGAGGCTTTGGATGTGAACAGTGATTCATCACAGTCAGAGGACCATCTGGGGAAAAAATAGTGGTTTTCTGTGATACTTTTAAAAAGTTACCTATGAAACAAGCATTCTAACTTTTATTTCCAGGATGAAACAAAACAACAACCTCCACTTGTCATTTTTCTTTTGATTTTCTAGGGCAAAGCTAGATTGAAAAGCAGAAGCTAGGATGGGATAAAACGTGTGAAAACAAACAGGCTGGGGAATTATCTGTTGTCTTGTTCTTTGGGTTTTTTCTTTTTCAGTAGCCCCTGTACAATTTATAATAAAAATAAAAATAATAAATTAGCATTCATTAGCGCTGATAATAATACTTACGTTTTATTCAAATGGTCTTGCTGTTCAGTACTATGTCTGTATAAAACTTTGTTAGTGACATCAAGTGGAATCTCCTAAATTTGCAAATAGTGGAATAGTACTTTTCTCAAAGTATGGATTGTTGCAAGCAAAGCTCTATTCATTATTCTGTTGATAATCGTATCAAGTCCTGTTTTGAATGAGTTCTTGCCCGTGGGATTAACAGCAGCATGTGTTCACATAACACAGACTATTGTGTACCATCTAGTATGCTTAAAATATTTTTACTCTCTTTTTTTCATGTACACACTAGTATGTGTACATTAAAAAACAGAGTAAAAATGTCTGTACACACATACCAGCATGTACATAAAAGGAAAAGAGAAAAAATATTTTAGGCACACTAGATGGTACACAATACTCTGTGTTCTTACTCTGTTTTTTTACTCTGTATTTTTTCTCTGTTTTTTTTAGTGTACACAGTAGTATGTGACAGCTAATGGTATTTTTATATTGGATGTGGTATATTTCCTGTGTAACCTCTACAAGTGACCCTGCATTGGGGGCTGGGCTAGGTGATCTTCAGAGGTCCCTTGCAACCTAAACCATTCTGTGATTTGGGTTCATTTTACTCTAACGCGACAGCATCCTTTTGGAAAATTGTGCTTTAAACACCACATGAACGCTAAAAAGCCCACGTGACATTTAAGAAATTGTATTGCTAATCAGCCTACTATTGAAAAGATAGATATTATTTAAATAGTAATTAAAAAAAAAAAAAAGTTTAAATACTTTAAAAGAGGAAGTTTACCCTGCTCTCTCCTTTGGCTGTGGCAGCTCCAGGTCCCTCCCCCGCTGCAGACCGGCGGTGCGGGGATGTTGGTCCTGTTGGTGCGGGGAGGGACCCGGCTCTGCTCCAGCGCTTTCCCTGCCCTGCTCACCTGGCGCACCTGCCCTCGGCGCGTCACCGCGCTCTGCCCATCGCCGCTCGGGGCTGCCTGACGTCAGGATGCGGGGCCCGGGACCGCCCGGCCGGACGCGGCTTCGCCTTCCCCGACGGCGCCGGGGCACCGCGCCCGCCGCAGCCCGGGCTACTGCTCATCCCCCTGCTGCTCATCCCCCTGCTGCTCATCCTGCTGCGGCTGCAGATCCCGCTGCTGCTGCTCATCCCGCTGCTGCTCTTCCTGCAGATCCTGCTGCGCTCATCCCGCTGCTGCGGCCGATCCCGCAGCTGCTGCTGCAGATCCCCATCCTGCTGCCGATCCCCATCCCCATCGTGCTGCAGATCCCCATCCTGCTACGTATCCCGGTCCTGCTGCAGATCCCCATCCTGCTGCTGCCACCACTGCTGCAGGTCCCCATCCTGCTGCCGATCCCCATCCCCATCCTGCTGCCGATCCCCATCCCCATCGTGCTGCGGATCCCCATCCTGCTGCTGCCCCTGCTGCTGCTGCTGTTGCTGCAGCTCCATCGCCCGGAGTTTCCCAGCCTGGCCGCAGCCGGGGCAATGCGGCAGGAGTCCCCGAGGTCACCGCAGCGAGGCTGAGCCCGGACACCGAGGAAGGAATAACAAGCCAAACCCGCTGGGGATTTGCAATGCAAGCGGCCTTTCCAGGTTTCTTTTCCGCTTTGCTCTCACCCTGCTGTTGGATTTGAGATCATGTATGTGGTTTTGCTGTTGATTACGGGAGGGTGTTAAAATCTAGGGAGGGAAGAGGATTCAGAGGGATTAATATGTTAGTTTTGATTTAAGGGGATTTTATTTTCTTTCCCCTTATCCCTGCCCTTCATCTTTGTTAACACAACTTTGTCTTTATTATTTTTATTTTAGGTCGGTTAATATTGTAGCTTTTGGGAATGAAAGAGATGGTTTTTCTGAGGACAATCATCAGCCCAGCCTGATCTGGAGCTATCTCGGGAGAAGTGCTCTCATTTCCCAGATCGACAGCAGCTTGTCTGCCAGTCATGTTGGAAACCCAGTTTTTACTGAGTATCAAGCCTGCGTGTTTGGCAATGTCAGACTGGTGGTGCACGACTGTCCTGTCTGGGTAAGAGATCCATCTCAGTCTTTTTAACTACAATTAACAGTGTGAACTCTTTTAGTAAAATGAAATATGTTCTATTTTTAAATGGTTTTCATTGTTGTGGGATTTTATTTGTAGTTTTATTACTGCATTTAGTAAAAAAAACTTTAAAAATGTAACCAGGCAAATGCTGGGAAATCTCAAAGGTGCTATAAAAAGGTTCTTATAAACAAGCCTCTGCTTGGCCTTCCCTGTAATAAGGTGTTTTTTTCAACTGTATTGCCCAGTGGAAATTTTGTGAAAGACAATCCAGAAATAAACAAGAATACCTTGTGACACTGCACCATAAGTTCTCTCTCCAAATATTTGCCAATAATAAAATGAAATTTTCTCTAAATAAAGGCAGTAAGTTTTCCAGCTGTGAAAAATAACAGATTAATAGATCTGATTGTTTATATATTATATGAATTATATATTTTTCATATAACAATAGATGGAATAATTTTACTCCTCCTACAAAGAATAATCATGTCCTAACATTATTACCATTATCTGATGGTAAATAACAAAGATTTTGGCACTGTTGCTAGTTGCCAGCACTTTTGTTAGTAAGTGAGAAAACTTAGTTTGGAGTGTGAGCAGATCAATGATTATGTAAGAAATGATACTGATAATCTAAATTAAAACATATTTAATGACTACTTAGCAGCCTTAAAAAAAACCCCTCAGCTTACCAGCTTTTAGAAATTAAAACAATAATCAGTTTCAGCTCCATAATTCTATCCTTTGGGTGATTTTTGTACTCCTGTAAGGGAAACCTTTTGTAGAATCTGCAGGAGCCATAACAGCTCCATGAAATTATCAGAAGCCAACAATCTTAAAACTAAACAATCCAGTTTAGCTGTCCTTCTGCTCTTTATTTCTTTTGCCAGCTGCTTAGAGACGCCAGTTCAGATGGACTGGGGGATCCTGTTTCTAATCTGAAGCTGCATGTGACCCGCACGTGCAGTTTGCTGGAGTCACCGGAGCGCAGCAAAATCTCCTGAATATAAATGAAGTCTGTAGGGCTTTGGAGGCTGTTTCAGAGGGATGGAGGGAGGTGGGTAAGGGAGTTGGGAGGGTGAGTGGGGGCAGCTGGAGAAGGGGAACAAGGACATAGATTGGAGACAGAGTTGATGTGTTTTTACATTGCTTTAATTGCATTTGGCCTTCTGCAGAGCAAGGTTGTTCACTTCTGGACACCTTTTAATTTCTGCCTTTGGAAAGTTAGCTTGTTGTTGTCGGAGTCACTGCATTTCTGGGTCCTCAGGTTTTTTTCCCTCTATCAGTTAAAGGAGGCAGCAGATATATTACTGAGAATGTTGAGGACAAATTAGCATGTTTCTCTTCGTGGAAGACACGTCAGATATCAGGACTGGACTCTGCAGGAGATTATGTGTCGTGCATAAAGCAGTGTCCTTGCTAGGGTAAGGCAGAGCAGGACCATTTCCCACAGCCTGGGTGCTTGAGGTTCACTATATCACAGTGGATCCTTCAGAGCTGCTCCTCTGCCAGCCTGGGGAAACAGCACAGAACAATTCAGGATGTTGACAGATATTGCCTCAAGCCATATTCTGCATGGAAATGGTCCCTGTTTCATCTTACCAAAACACAAACGTGGTGGTGTCGTGGGCCCTGCAGTATTTCAGCCTCTAATAGCTGAGGCCAAGAGAGATTTGTATTTACCTGAGATTTGTACCTCATCTAGATTAAACCCAAATGATTAAGGCAAGAGAGTCCTAGACATGAACTTGGCAGCTGAGTACACTGATAGCTGTGAGTCTCAAAACTCAAGGGTGCCCAGCTGTTCTTTGTCTTCCACAGCCATGACTCTGGAAAAGCAGTGTTGATGTGGTTTCCCTGAGTAGAGTTCCACAGAGAGTGGGGGGATCCTTTTGCA